TTCGGTCTCAGGTTGACATGTCGGCTTCTTGTGCAGATGCTTCGACGATGTCTGGGGATTTGATTTGTATACAATTGGTGGATGGTGGCTAGCAGTGGAATCCAGGATGCGCATTTCGTCCTAATTGGGACTCGTCAGCTGGATGTACCTGCATTTCTCAGTGAGTGATGATGTTCCCACCGAGGCTCGAACCCAGTGCCCATAGTTTCAAACGCCAAAGCGTTATCCACTAGACCACTTGGGCCACGAGAGCCACCTCTTGTGCAACGGGTCATATATTAATTATTGAATTGAATTTTTGACTGATTTTCCCGTCGATTGATTGGACCGAAGTGTTCGGTCTCAGGTTGACATGTCGGCTTCTTGTGCAGATGCTTCGACGATGTCTGGGGATTTGATTTGTATACAATTGGTGGATGGTGGCTAGCAGTGGAATCCAGGATGCGCATTTCGTCCTAATTGGGACTCGTCAGCTGGATGTACCTGCATTTCTCAGTGAGTGATGATGTTCCCACCGAGGCTCGAACCCAGTGCCCATAGTTTCAAACGCCAAAGCGTTATCCACTAGACCACTTGGGCCACGAGAGCCACCTCTTGTGCAACGGGTCATATATTAATTATTGAATTGAATTTTTGACTGATTTTCCCGTCGATTGATTGGACCGAAGTGTTCGGTCTCAGGTTGACATGTCGGCTTCTTGTGCAGATGCTTCGACGATGTCTGGGGATTTGATTTGTATACAATTGGTGGATGGTGGCTAGCAGTGGAATCCAGGATGCGCATTTCGTCCTAATTGGGACTCGTCAGCTGGATGTACCTGCATTTCTCAGTGAGTGATGATGTTCCCACCGAGGCTCGAACCCAGTGCCCATAGTTTCAAACGCCAAAGCGTTATCCACTAGACCACTTGGGCCACGAGAGCCACCTCTTGTGCAACGGGTCATATATTAATTATTGAATTGAATTTTTGACTGATTTTCCCGTCGATTGATTGGACCGAAGTGTTCGGTCTCAGGTTGACATGTCGGCTTCTTGTGCAGATGCTTCGACGATGTCTGGGGATTTGATTTGTATACAATTGGTGGATGGTGGCTAGCAGTGGAATCCAGGATGCGCATTTCGTCCTAATTGGGACTCGTCAGCTGGATGTACCTGCATTTCTCAGTGAGTGATGATGTTCCCACCGAGGCTCGAACCCAGTGCCCATAGTTTCAAACGCCAAAGCGTTATCCACTAGACCACTTGGGCCACGAGAGCCACCTCTTGTGCAACGGGTCATATATTAATTATTGAATTGAATTTTTGACTGATTTTCCCGTCGATTGATTGGACCGAAGTGTTCGGTCTCAGGTTGACATGTCGGCTTCTTGTGCAGATGCTTCGACGATGTCTGGGGATTTGATTTGTATACAATTGGTGGATGGTGGCTAGCAGTGGAATCCAGGATGCGCATTTCGTCCTAATTGGGACTCGTCAGCTGGATGTACCTGCATTTCTCAGTGAGTGATGATGTTCCCACCGAGGCTCGAACCCAGTGCCCATAGTTTCAAACGCCAAAGCGTTATCCACTAGACCACTTGGGCCACGAGAGCCACCTCTTGTGCAACGGGTCATATATTAATTATTGAATTGAATTTTTGACTGATTTTCCCGTCGATTGATTGGACCGAAGTGTTCGGTCTCAGGTTGACATGTCGGCTTCTTGTGCAGATGCTTCGACGATGTCTGGGGATTTGATTTGTATACAATTGGTGGATGGTGGCTAGCAGTGGAATCCAGGATGCGCATTTCGTCCTAATTGGGACTCGTCAGCTGGATGTACCTGCATTTCTCAGTGAGTGATGATGTTCCCACCGAGGCTCGAACCCAGTGCCCATAGTTTCAAACGCCAAAGCGTTATCCACTAGACCACTTGGGCCACGAGAGCCACCTCTTGTGCAACGGGTCATATATTAATTATTGAATTGAATTTTTGACTGATTTTCCCGTCGATTGATTGGACCGAAGTGTTCGGTCTCAGGTTGACATGTCGGCTTCTTGTGCAGATGCTTCGACGATGTCTGGGCATTTGATTTGTATACAATTGGTGGATGGTGGCTAGCAGTGGAATCCAGGATGCGCATTTCGTCCTAATTGGGACTCGTCAGCTGGATGTACCTGCATTTCTCAGTGAGTGATGATGTTCCCACCGAGGCTCGAACCCAGTGCCCATAGTTTCAAACGCCAAAGCGTTATCCACTAGACCACTTGGGCCACGAGAGCCACCTCTTGTGCAACGGGTCATATATTAATTATTGAATTGAATTTTTGACTGATTTTCCCGTCGATTGATTGGACCGAAGTGTTCGGTCTCAGGTTGACATGTCGGCTTCTTGTGCAGATGCTTCGACGATGTCTGGGGATTTGATTTGTATACAATTGGTGGATGGTGGCTAGCAGTGGAATCCAGGATGCGCATTTCGTCCTAATTGGGACTCGTCAGCTGGATGTACCTGCATTTCTCAGTGAGTGATGATGTTCCCACCGAGGCTCGAACCCAGTGCCCATAGTTTCAAACGCCAAAGCGTTATCCACTAGACCACTTGGGCCACGAGAGCCACCTCTTGTGCAACGGGTCATATATTAATTATTGAATTGAATTTTTGACTGATTTTCCCGTCGATTGATTGGACCGAAGTGTTCGGTCTCAGGTTGACATGTCGGCTTCTTGTGCAGATGCTTCGACGATGTCTGGGGATTTGATTTGTATACAATTGGTGGATGGTGGCTAGCAGTGGAATCCAGGATGCGCATTTCGTCCTAATTGGGACTCGTCAGCTGGATGTACCTGCATTTCTCAGTGAGTGATGATGTTCCCACCGAGGCTCGAACCCAGTGCCCATAGTTTCAAACGCCAAAGCGTTATCCACTAGACCACTTGGGCCACGAGAGCCACCTCTTGTGCAACGGGTCATATATTAATTATTGAATTGAATTTTTGACTGATTTTCCCGTCGATTGATTGGACCGAAGTGTTCGGTCTCAGGTTGACATGTCGGCTTCTTGTGCAGATGCTTCGACGATGTCTGGGGATTTGATTTGTATACAATTGGTGGATGGTGGCTAGCAGTGGAATCCAGGATGCGCATTTCGTCCTAATTGGGACTCGTCAGCTGGATGTACCTGCATTTCTCAGTGAGTGATGATGTTCCCACCGAGGCTCGAACCCAGTGCCCATAGTTTCAAACGCCAAAGCGTTATCCACTAGACCACTTGGGCCACGAGAGCCACCTCTTGTGCAACGGGTCATATATTAATTATTGAATTGAATTTTTGACTGATTTTCCCGTCGATTGATTGGACCGAAGTGTTCGGTCTCAGGTTGACATGTCGGCTTCTTGTGCAGATGCTTCGACGATGTCTGGGGATTTGATTTGTATACAATTGGTGGATGGTGGCTAGCAGTGGAATCCAGGATGCGCATTTCGTCCTAATTGGGACTCGTCAGCTGGATGTACCTGCATTTCTCAGTGAGTGATGATGTTCCCACCGAGGCTCGAACCCAGTGCCCATAGTTTCAAACGCCAAAGCGTTATCCACTAGACCACTTGGGCCACGAGAGCCACCTCTTGTGCAACGGGTCATATATTAATTATTGAATTGAATTTTTGACTGATTTTCCCGTCGATTGATTGGACCGAAGTGTTCGGTCTCAGGTTGACATGTCGGCTTCTTGTGCAGATGCTTCGACGATGTCTGGGCATTTAGTTTGTATACAATTGGTGGATGGTGGCTAGCAGTGGAATCCAGGATGCGCATTTCGTCCTAATTGGGACTCGTCAGCTGGATGTACCTGCATTTCTCAGTGAGTGATGACGTTCCCACCGAGGCTCGAACCCAGTACCCATAGTTTCAAACGCCAAAGCGTTATCCACTAGACCACTTGGGCCACGAGAGCCACCTCTTGTGCAACGGGTCATATATTAATTATTGAATTGAATTTTTGACTGATTTTCCCGTCGATTGATTGGACCGAAGTGCTCGGTCTCAGGTTGACATGTCGGCTTCTTGTGCAGATGCTTCGACGATGTCTGGGCATTTAGTTAGTATTTAATTGGTGGATGGTGACTAGCAGTGGAATCCAGGATGCGCATTTCGTCCTATTTGGGACTCGTCAGCTGGATGTACCTGCATTTCTCACTGAGTGATGACGTTCCCACCGAGGCTCGAACCCAGTACCCATAGTTTCAAACGCCAAAGCGTTATCCACTAGACCACTTGGGCCGCGAGAGCCACCTCTTGTGCAACGGGTCATATATTAATTATTGAATTGAATTTTTGACTGATTTTCCCGTCGATTGATTGGACCGAAGTGCTCGGTCTCAGGTTGACATGTCGGCTTCTTGTGCAGATGCTTCGACGATGTCTGGGCATTTAGTTAGTATTTAATTGGTGGATGGTGACTAGCAGTGGAATCCAGGATAAAGCGCATTTCTTCCTTTGTAGGTCTCGTCATCTTCCCCGTTTCGAGCCTCGGTGCGATCGTTATCACTCAATAAGTAATGCAGGTACATCCAGCTGACGAGTGCCTAATAAGACTAAATGCGCTTTATCCTGGATTCCACTGCTAGTCACCATCCACCAATTAAGTACTTACTAAATGCCTAGACATCTTCGAAGCATCTGCACAAGAAGCCGACATGTCAACCTGAGACCGAGCACTTCGGTCGAATCATTCGACGCGAAAATTTTATATTCAAATGAAACCATTATTTGTTTGGTGTTGCATTATACATTCAGTTTTATACTAGTCAACTTTGGTGGCATTCCAAAACTGTCTCTCTTTATAAAGCTGCTGACTACTGTTATTTGTTTGATACAACGTGTTACTTGATTGCCTAGTTAAATATATTTTTGGGGGCTTTTATATAATTTAGAAGCCACAGCATCAAATTTTCTGCACATACTTCACTTCCCTAAAAGAAATTTTATCGTGATCGGTAAAAATTTTAAAAAGGCCATTCAATTAAGTTGTATTTAATAGTTTAAGTACTTTAAAATGAAGCAAATAAGTTATCAAAGAGAAACTTAGAAGTACATATCATTGCAAGTGGTTCTAATTTACATAAGTTTTGATATTTTGTTTTTCTTCAGTTATATTTAGTGTAGGGAGAAAAGAGAAGATATGAGAAAGTTATTTTGTTCAGAATTCAGCAGCGTGTATCATTTCAATTCATTACACAGGCATTCATATACAACCAAGTTTGTTTCGGTTATGGCATGTGCGAGTGACTTTTTATATATTCAGCCCCTGGGGGTTAATTAGAAAAAGCATATCTTGTACACTCAGAAATAGGTAAGATGTTAATCAAGTTATTTCTGAGTATTCCACTGAACTATGAATTTCTTTCTTTTCAAATAGAAAATAAAAACACGTATACGATATTAATTTCAAGCATATTCCAATTGTTTTTAACTGTGCAACGCCTATTCAAGAAATGAACTAACTACAGAACAATGCAATCATAATCATGAAAAGGTGAAATGATCAGCTAGCACTACGGAGGGATATCATCTTTAAATGTACATTGTGATTAGAGTATTTCAAATTTGGTATGATTCTCATCAATTCTGAACTTTACATTGAATGATTAACATGAATAAATAAAATATAAAACCAGGCAGCATCAAAGGAATTTTTCATCGACTACTTTCCAAGTAGAGAATGGAGATTAAATATAAGTGCTTTCATATTTCAGTTAAAGATGAATAAAGAACAGATTGTTTTTAAAAATACTTTCGTTGAGCTTATAAATGTTAGTAGGTGAACACTAAGCAGCAGCTATTATATCTCCTGCCTGGTTGCATTGATGTCAACATTTTGATGAGCATACTTGCTTACCAGTTTATTAACTAACCAGGCAATATACTGTTGAAGTTCAAATGACTCATTATGACCCATTGACAAAATATAACTCAAGTTCATCTAAAGGGTGAAGATCAACATTCACCTAAGCATATATTGCACAATGTGAGCTCAATATATATATATATATATATATACTTAATATAAATTGCTAACTTATATGCTTATTTAATTTATTTTCTATAGTTTGATTTGTAAGGGTTAGTTATGTTTTTACGAGTTGATCACGGATTGATATCAGTTAGAGAACCATTGAAAACCAGGGAGTACTGGACAGCTGCTGTTTCATCCTAGTTTGGGAATCATCGGGAGTACGCACCCACTGGGATTCCAACCCAGGACCTTCCGGTTACAAGGCAAGCTCGTATACCATTCAGCCACTGGGACCCGATTCAATGGCTCTTGAATTCTAACTTCTACCAATTCGTGATTTAGCGCGACCACAAACATTTTAATTTTTTATTCACCACACTCCCTACTTAGTTGATATGAGGTGCTACAATTGATATTTTTCACTACTTGTTTCTTGCTATTCATTACTTACTTTGATAAAATTTGTATTACTATCTATCAAAAATGTTTACAAAATTATATCTAGTGTTAAATGCTTAAGCTGTACATTACTTATTAAACATTTTAAATTAAATTGTGTACAGTTATAACATAACTGATATGATTATGAACAATAAATTGTGTTCGAAATGTCATCCAGTAAATAATACTATTTCACTGTGTGATATATCTAATACATGGAAAATTCCCATCGTAACATATAGAAAATTAAATCAAGTGATTTAGCGAAGAGATTGTCTTCAACGAATTTATTATCAAGCTGTTCAATCGTATATAAATGGTTTTTAAGAAATTATATCCGGTGATGGAATTGAATTGCATTTCATACTACTATTATTTTATGCATTTATGACTGAATTCCTTCACCGTATATACTTTCTTAAAAACCACATGTATACGATTATATACAGCTTGATAATAAATTCGTTGAAGAGAGTCTCTTGGCTGAATCATTTTTTATTTTATATATCTAATAAGCAAATAATATGAAATTACAGCTACGGTGATTGTGAGATATCTACCCTAATTTTACTGAAAATACGATTATCAGGTAAACTATGATGCACTGATATATTTTCGAAGAAAATTTAGAGTATTTTCTACTTTTGCAAAGACAGCAAACGCTACACTTCTAAACATCCATTTGCTTATATCCTGTTTTTAAAGTGAGTAATTCAATGTGAGTTTAGTTTAATTCTCCTAATTTTTATTCATTATTAGTATTCCGGAAAAAACTGTCACGTCAAGAAGATAATTAAATCAGCTTTTAGTGTTTTTTTGAGAATTTTATTGTATTCGATTGCATAAATTATTGATTGCAATTAATTTCGAGAACGACTTTCAGTGTATCCCTAAACATAATATTTAAATATTCAAATACTCAGCTGAATTACTGTAGAATGAAAGAAATTTCTATGAATCACTTTGTAGCGTGTCGTTCAGCAGAAAACAATTCTTTATAGTTCAAAAGATTTTACTATTGCAAGTAGAATTTGCTATATTTTATCCTCCTTATTAAAATTCAGTAAATTATTTGATATCTTCATTTTTAGTTCTAGACTAACTTTTAATTTGAACAGTGAATAGGTCATAGTATTCACACAGTTTGTAGTGGCTATTTTCATCCTGTTTACGACTCATCACTAAGACGTAAAGATATGATAAAATACAGAAACTTTATATTGAAATTTCCATTTGCACATCTTCTCCATTCTGCGCTACTTCTGTCTCCTCTTCAGGTTTTCCGCATTGTTTCAAAAAGATCTTTTATATTTTTAATTTGCAACTCGGTTCGTCTCTTTGTTATTCGGGAGACATGACACAAAATATAGTACTTACGAAATCGCGTCAGTTACACACACCACAATAGCATGTTCATTGAAACACGAACCCACTAATAAATATTTCAAACGCTAAAACGTTAACCACTTCAATAAATAAAGTCATTCAGTCCTTATAATTGAAATGATATTTTCAGTATACAAATGGCAAGTGAACTTAACATACAATAGACATACGTCCATGAATTTACCAGATGATTACAATATAAACATTTATTATCCAAAATTAAAAGCGGTTATAATCAATCATAAGTTATTCGTCAAAAGGTTCCATCAAGGCTTAGATGGCTATGCCGTTTTTCGTTTGGTCACCCAGCTACATGGACATTAAGCATTGTCGGAAAAACCTGTTAGTGAATCCACTGAAAGTTTATTAAATCAGTATGCCTTATGTAGTGTTTGTTGTTATTACTATGATGGATAGTTGGGGTTCATTCTTCGTGCAATGTCTAGGTCGTTTTACGCATATCCCCCTTTAAAGGCGTTTCCCTAGACGCCTAGTTTTACATGTGTCGCTCCAAAATCTTAATAACTGTTTACCATGCTAATAATTTACTGTAATCAAAGCTGACTGAACACTAGTGACCTGAGTTTTCATGGTTTAGATGAACAGCATTACTTTTATGGGTGGACGGAAGTATATATCAAATTTAACTGCCTTTACACTTAGAATTGTAGATTTTATGAAAGAAATGGAAACTAACTAAAGTTGCGATAATGTGGGAATTTGCTACAAAATTCGAAAGCTTCTTCTGTTAATCACAAATGCTGTTTTCCATTCGTTTTATTTATATATAATATGTAGATAATTTGTTCCGAAAATAAAATCAGCATAAATCAGAGTACCATATGAAAACTGGAAGGTTTCACATCTTTATTGCATACTTTTTTCAGATTACTCACTTCACGTATTCAAAATTGACCAAGGAGATTATAATACTTGAAATGACTAATCGTTTGATGGGATTTTCGCTATCAGCATTTAGAATCACTTAACTTAAGTTTTCCAGTTTCATAACGTAATGCAAATATCTTTCAGTGTAGTCAGCTGATATCCCATCACCCTTTTATATTTATGACTTTCATATTTTTTTCTAGAAGTTAAATGGTCTTCCTCAGGCTAGGTACCCACTGTATCTCCTCAGAATATTACTTAGACTAGTTACTTTCATAAGCACTACCACTCCGATAGATCAAATGATAAATAAAATCTTCGCGTACCACCTTAATGAAGTTAAAGTAATTTCACTTGTCTTATTCTTCCTGGGTTCGTTCACATTTCTATAGTATCCCCAATACTACATTCGCTAATACATTGGAAAGATACATAATGAAATGAAAAGTGAACTATAAATAATTCAGTAAAATGGTACTTTGTGTATAATCTCATCAATCCCAGGTTTCAAGAATAAACTGATCCCGCAGATACATGTGAATTTGTATATGCAGTTGGAGGTAACATATGAGGTGTGCTTACCGATTTTTGCTGTAATAGTATAAAGTGGTTGAATGATTTTCTTTTATATACATAACTACGGTTTTTCTAACTAAATGGCTAAAACTTCAGCAATGTAAACGAGACGAAAGTGTATTGCTTTTGGTAAGTTTTTCTTGACTTTGTAGATTACTTTGAAGAAGGCCAAGAGTTATGACCCCACTCAGTTGCTACAAATATTCGACAACTGCGATACATCAATAAAATTCACTCTAAAATGGTAAACGAGTCGAAAATCTGCTGTCATTAGTGAAATTAACAAGACAACCAGACGAAATCTTCAAAAGGTCAGTCCGAAAGAATCCTACTTGGAATGGCCAGCTAACAAGTTTCTACAGTTGGGTGCCCTTTGAAAAAAAATGAAATCTAATTAAATCCTCTACCACTGAAATCTGATGCATCTGCAGTCTCCGTGCCCTGAAGCAGAATTGGATCTTCTGCAAGGAACCATAATCCGAAATGGATACCCACTAAGAGTCCTCAACACGAATGTCAGACCGAAAATCTAGAGGAACGAAAGATTACCTGTTCCAGAAAAGAGACGTTACATGAACCCGCATTTCAAGGGATACTCAGCCTGTAATATCCTAAAGAGAAGAATTCTAGAATCTCTGAGAAGAACATTCATCGCAGTCTCCCTACAAGTAGTATTCTACAGTGTCCATTGGTATTCAAAAGCCCTAAGGACAAAATATCGCATCTGAACACTTCAGTGTACATATATCAGTTCACATTTTGCTGTGGAACTAGGTACACTGATCACTCAACGCGTATCCTGCCCAAAAGAGATCGAGAACACTACCCAGCATGGCTGCAAGAAAGGTAGGAGTGACTCCATGAAGAATGCGATAGTCAAACACCTCCAAAATGTCTATTTTCAAATAATGATTTTTTGTAGGGATTTTGCTTGATTAGTTGGAGTATTTTCATCATGAGCTGACATCAGTTAGAGAACCATTAGAAAAGCTGGCAGAATTTAGAATTCAAGGGAAACCGGGTGGTGGCTTAATGGTCTACGAGCTCGTCTTGTGACCAGAAGGTCCTGGGTTCGAACCACGCTGAGTGCGTACCA